GAGTCGACAGAAACGTTGGAAGTTATGCCTAGTTTAGTAGTAGTAGTACAGCAGTTGTTAAAAGGGTATTGATTGCTTCGAATGTTTACTGTGATGGTGAGTTCAACAGTCCATCTGTGACAGGGGTTCTCAACTTGGCCTAGGCTAGACCTATATCGCAGTAGGGTAAAAATGGTTCATTGAATAAACACTGAATAAATTTTACACAACCTTGGCATTACCTTACAGCAGACGCGTGTGAATGCTTTTTATCTCGGTAGGAATAACTCGGGAGATCGCTCGGTTACAATTTGTTACTTTTTGTTAAATTTAACTTCACGTGTGAATCGGGTATTAGGCGGATTTAGGGGGCGCCTGCGACCCCCCCCCCCCACTTATATCACAAAAAAGGGGTTTTTTTTTTAGATAATTGGATGGATACACAATTCCATTGAAAGGTTGATTCATATCGCACAATGCATAGCTACAAAGACAGTTTAAGCGCTGATGCACCGCCAGCATGGAAACCTTTGTGCAATCAATCACTCTCTATCAAGGTCAGGTATGTGCTGTCACTGAACCCCACGCACAGTGACCACAGTACACTGATATGTGTGCATATCTCCATTGACGACACCCCTTTAGTAGACTTGCTCTTTTAATAAAGTACAGTTTTTGTGTAGACAACATTTGACACTTTTGACGTGTAAGTTTTGCTTCCTTGTTTTCAAATACAGTACCATGGTTTAATCATATTGTGTAATTTAAAAGATATTACTGTATGAAATTGTATAATCCTGTTGTCTAATTGACATGAAACAGTGGCGTAACAGGCGGGGAGGGGGAGCAGACTGCCACCCCCTGACGGTTTTTACCGGGCTGAACTAGCCGTCGTATCGGGCTGGGTAATAAGAGAAAAGAAAAAGGGGAGAGGGAGGGAAGGAGAAAGAAGAAGGAGAGAAAAGGAAAGGAAAAAGGAAAAGAAAAAGAAAGACAAGAATAAAAAGGAAGATATCATAATGACCAGATTCACAACCTGCAACCTCTTCTCCACTTAACTCCTTTGATCTAAGCTGCCAGATGGCGTAGGCTAACCACCGGGGAACAAGGGGAAAATATCTATCTTTGGAAAACCTCTCCCACCCCTTTATAATTGCCTTTTTCATCCCCTGAAAGTGCCTAAAAATCTCACATTTCGCACACTTCGCGCGCATTTCTTGTCAGAGTAGGCCAATTTCCTCTAAAAATTGCACATTTTAGGGATTTTGGATCAATTCCGACGAAATTAGAATTAAAAACACCGGGGGACAAGGGGAAAATATCCATCTTTGCTAAAATCCTCAAATTTCGCACACGCCCCACTCCTCCCCCCTCTATTTTTTTGTAAAGAAAAAATTACACCCACAGTGTTTAAGTCTTCTTTTCCTACCAAAAACACCCTAGAAGAGTGCTATTTATAAATCCACTTGGTGAGAAATAGAACACTTGTAATTTACTCAGTGTTTTTGCTGATTTTGTGATTTTTATGTTCAATGTTGCTGAGAAACTTCATCATGTTTTCTAGAAGTGAAATTTATCTTTTGAAATGGTGTACATTTATGAGCCTTTGTAGGTTGTCAAAGATTATGTTGTGAGTAGATGAATTATTTCTAATTTAATGACACATGTCATAGTTGCATTTTGCAGGTACTCTGTATGTTAAAATTTCTTTTAAAAGACATACACCTATTATTTTTTTTATTTATTTGTTACTGAAAACTACCATGCTAGATAGTCAAAATCGACTCAATACAACCTCACATTCCTCAAATGTGCTGGGTTTCAAGGGGGCTTCGACCCCCACCAGGGGTTTTGTCCCTGGACCCCGCCGGGGGCCCTGGGCGGCCCCCCTGGCCCCCAGCCTAAGGCTCGCTTCGCTCGCAGATTACACCCCCTCATTTTTCTGGCAGGCTGCATCCGCCCATACCCTCGGTGCTTCGTATCTTGGCTGGTCGTCCATCTTTACTTTGGCGCCCCCTTCCCCCTTACGCTAAATCCTGTATCCGCCCCTGTTTTTTGGTCAGGACTTTGAACATGTCACATGGATTTAAAATCATCTTTATGGCAAATTTACGAATTCTTGCCTTTTTTCATGAGATCCAGAAAACGCATGCATAGGCCTATCTTATGATTGCCGTACCTTTTCTCCGATCATGCTATATTGTGTCACATAGGCCTATGAATGGGTTTCAACCGTATTCTATGATCTAATGCAATAAACGGAGCAAATTTATATAATAATATCTCATAATTCCCATGCAAACAATTGTTGACAAGTTTTTTCATAAGCTTTACTAATTTAAGTATCTACGGAAATTTCTCTCTCTCAACTTGCACTTGGCAAAGTTCACCAGAGGCAAAATACACAAAATATGTGCTGGTAAAAAGATAGTAATAATTATCTGCATTCTTTGAATTCTCTTCTCTCTTAAAAAGCAATATGTAAATCAGTACCAACATAACATGGCCGACGGAACCGGGGGGGGGGGGGCGGGGCCGGGCCCCCCCCCACACGTTTTGGCAAAAAATATATAATGTCTGGAGATTTTTGTATGATCGGAAAGAAATGCAAGAAAAGAAAAAGGGAAGAAGGAGAAGGAAAGAAAATGTTTATCCAGTCCCTGGCCGAGTAACATTTTCTAGCAATTCACATTGGCGGATCTGGGGTAGGGGCGTCATCGGTCCTGACCCCTCCATTGGGCCAAAAAAAAAAAGAATTCTAGACCTACCTTTTCAGGACCGTGAGCTGATTTTTTTTTTTTTTTTTTTACACTTAAGAAAATTAAAAATTTTTAAGAACATAAAATTCATTAAAACACAATTCAAATGTAGAAAAAGTTCATTTCCCGCCATCTAGGAATCACAATTTTCCCGGGGAAAACCCCCCGGACCAACCTTTCTTGTTGGGATTTATCGATTCATGGAAAAAAGAATACGCATGCAACTACTCATTTGTTTATGTATACACACATAAAATAAAAATGAGAAAAATTTACCTGACCGTTTTCAAGAGGGGAAAACCTTGAATTTTGAAGATATTAAAAAGTCATTTATAAATGACATTTCAGAAGTCAGGAAAGCTCATTTCCCGCCATCTTTGGTGTTCATTGATTCATTGAATCATTTTCAAGAGGGGGAAAACCTTGAATTTTGAAGAACTTAAAAGTAATTAAAAGACACCTCAGAAGTCAGGAAGCTCATTTCCCACCTTCTAGGAATCAAAATATTCCCTGGCGAGAACCCCCAAACCCCACTTTTTTGGGATTTATCGACTCATGGAAAACGAAATTCGTATATGCAACTACTCATTTTTTTTAATGTATGTATACACACATAGGCCTAAGGCCTATCTACTGTAATAACAATGGAAAAAATAAATTACCTGACCGTTTTTAAGAGGGGAAAACCTTGAATTTTGAAGAACTTAAAAGTAATTAAGACACATCAGAAGTTGGAAAAGCTCATTTCTCGACATCTAGGAATCAAAATTTTCACGGGGGAGAACCCCCGGCCCCCTTTCTTTTTATGATTTATCGATTCATGAAAAAAAAAATTCGTATGCAAATACTCATTTTTTTTTATGTAAGCCTATATGTATACACATAAGGCCTATTTACTGTAACAAGTGGAAACAATTACCTGACCGTTTTCAAGAGAGGAAACCTTGAATTTTGAAGAACTTAAAAGTAATTAAAAAACAACTTAGAAGTCGGGAAGCTCATTTCCCGCCTTCTAGGAATCAAAACTTTCCCGGGGGAGAACTCACGGACCCCCTTCTTTGGGGATTTATTGACTCATGGAAAAAATCGTATGCAACTACTCAATTATGTTTTATGTATGTACACACATATAAGGCATAGGCCTATCTACTGTAATAACAATGGGGAAAATTCACCTGACCGTTTTCAAGAGGGGAAAACCTTGAATTTTGAAGAACTTAAATTAAAGTCGCTAAAAGATACGTCGGGAAAGCTCATTTCCCACCATTTAAAAATTAACATTTTCCCAGGGAGAACTGAACCTCCCTTTTCTCTTTGGGTTTATTGATTCATTATAATAATTTTCAAGAGGGGAAAACCTTGAATTTTGAAGAAGAAGTAATTAAAAGACACCTCAAGTCGGGAAAACTAATTTCCGCCTTTTAGGAATCAAAATTTTCCCGGGGGAGAACCCCAGACCCCCCCTATCTTTTTAGGATTTATCGATTCATGGGAAAAAAATCGTATGCAACTACTATTTTTTTTTAAATATTTTTATGTATGTATACAATCATAAGGCCTATTTACTGTAAAAGCAATGGGAAAAATTACCTGACCGTTTTAAGAGGGGAAAACCTTGAACTTTGAAGAGCTTAAAAGTAATTAAGACGCCTTAGAAGTTGGAAAAGCTCATTTCCCGCCATCTAGGAATCAAAATTTTCCCGGGGGAGAACCCCCGACCCCCTTTTCTTGGAGCTTATCGATTCATTGAAAAAAGAATACGTAGGCCTACGCAACTACTCATTTTTTTTTATGTATGTTTACACACATATCAGGCCTATTTATAAGAATGAGAAAATTTACCAGACCATTTTCAAGAGGGAGAAAACCTTGATTTTTGAAGAACAAAGTCATTAGACACCTAGCTCAAAAGTCGAGAAAAGTCATTTCCCGCCATCTAGAAATCAAAATTTTCCCGGGGGAGGACCGCGGACCTCCTAGATTTGTTTCCAGATCTGCATGATTTTATATTCTATTCATCTTATAAATGGGGCCCCACCCCCCACTTTGAAAAACGTTCTGCCGGCCCTGCATAAAGATGGCAGAGACACAAGAATGATAACCAAGCATCGATCAGGCCTATCATCATTTTCTTCACCTGAATGTCGGTCACTTGTTCCAAAAATATCTTAGAATTAGGCTTTGGTGGGAATTCAGACAGATTATGGACACAAAAAAGACCTGGTGTAAGGCGTAATCGTAAGAAGCTTTTTATTATAACAATCTTTCATCATACCAGGCTCTCCGTTGTATCCTTACGCAGACTAAAGCTCAGACATAACAAAGCTTGCGCTAGGTTCGATATAAAAATAAAATGCTAAAATGTTATCCTTAAACTGTTTAATATTCGAAAGATCCGACATGAATAATTTTAAACTGTATTAAGTGTGCTCTTATAATACTCTTAGGCGCGAAAAATAATAAACAGTGAATATTTAAGAGTTGTCTTTTTAATCTTTTAATTGATACTTTCGTCTTTAACTTTGTCCATATCTATGTATTGTATTGTTTTTTTATTTATTTATTTATTTTTTTAAAATTAAATACAGAAAATGAAAACTATCGATAATCGTTTCTTAAAAAAAGAGTACTACACAATAACATAAAAATAATAAAAACAAAATGGATCGGCCCTCTTGGCTCAAATTGATACTCAAGCGAATTGATTCCTTTTTGACAGAGGAACGGACTTATTATTGCGGAGTGACCATTATTATTCAAAACGACACAGGCGACTGAACATACCACAATAATTTAGCTTTAGAGAAGTTTTTAATGAATAGCGAGTAATACCACTACAATACAAACAAAAGCTATTGAAAGTGGTCTGACTCTGACGTACGTCTGTTCACCCCTATTAATGATTGACGTTTTATAGCCAGCAGAAGTAAAACTCAGGATTGTGGTTCATTTATTTGTATGATCTGTTTTTATGCGACGTTTCAAAGTCGTTTTCTCTGCCGAAAACGTATCTAATGTTCTGCATAATTTAAAATTTGAAGATGGAACGTTTTAAACAAGTGATTCGTAATGTACATAGGCGCAGAGTAATAAATATCAACAATTTGGATACAGAACTAAATAGATGTTTAAATACGTTTGACTTGACGATGGTAGGGGTGAGTTATACGTTAGGCATTGGTCTGTATGTCCTGATTGGAACAGTTGCCAATACAATGGCAGGTCCTGGTGTGATCTTATCGATAATTATAACAGCTATATGTGCCTTATTCTCTGCGTTGTGTTACGCTGAATTTGGTTGCAGAGTGCCAAAAGCTGGTAGCGCATATCTTTACGCCTACGTGACTGTCGGTGAGATTTGGGCTTTGGCGATAGGCTGGAACATGATTTTAGAATATATGGGGTGTGTAGCCGGAGTCTCCTCAGGTTTTGCTGGAGCGATTGATGACACTTTTGATGGCGTCATCTACAATTTAACTGTAGACAATCTTATGGGCGGACATCCATGGACGTCTCCATACTTTGTTAAATACCCAGATATAATAGCCGGACTTTTGGTTTTAACGATCTCAGTTGTCCTACTGTTTGGCGTTGATATATCATCAAAACTAAACAACATTTTAGTTTTCAGTCTAGTTATTGTTCTACTATTATTAATTGGGTATTGTTTGAAGTTCGCGAACATTTCAAATTGGACAGACTATGGTGGATTCTTCCCATTCGGACTCGTAGGTGTATGTGAGGGCGCAGCTCAAATGTTTTTCCTCTTTGCTGGCTTTGAAGTTATTTGCATATCAAGCGAAGAATGTAAAAATCCAATCAAAAGTTTGCCTATTGCATTGATATTAACAATTGTCGTTAACGCAATTTTTGGAGTAATATCCGCTGTTTGTCTCACTTTAATGGTACCCTGGACAGAAATTGACATAAAGTCTCCTTTTCCCCAAGCTTTTCGAAAATTCCACGAAATTGTGCCTACATACCTAGTAACCATTGGAACTATTATTACAATTTCTGGGACAATTCTGAATGCTTTACATGGGTTATCAAGACTCATCTATTCAATAGCATCAGATGGACTATTGTTTCCTCTGTTTGCGCGTCTCTCTGAAAATCTAGTTCCAGCGATAACAATTGTAATCGTCGGGATAACCTCTTGTATATTGGCGGTATTTCTCAGTTTTCGTACTCTAGTTCAACTCCTGAACATTGGCAGTATAGTATCATATCTAATCATAGCCATCTTATTGATTGTTATCAGGTACAGGCCTGTAGAAGAAAATGCGATTTTTTATCGGGAAGAAGAGAAAAAAGAAAACGTTCAAACTGATTCTGTCGTAGGTGGCACACTTAAGGCCCAATTCAAATTTCTTAAGTTCCTTCAAAGCGAGATTCCAGGGCGCGTTGTGGTAGCCTCTCTTACAATGTATGTCATATGCTCCGGATGCTTCTTATTTCTTATTTTTCATTCGGATCGGAGCTTGGGAGTCCTGCATTTAGTTTTTCTTGTTGGCGCATTCTTAGGTTTCTGCGTGATTCTGCTCCATAATCAAAACGAAGAAGAACCACCATTTAAGGTAAGCTACCGATATTCTTCGGCTTATCTATTATTTAGGCACATAAACAAAGGATTACCAATAACAAATTTAGCAATTGTCCTATTTACAGATGGCAGTCCCTTCCACAAGACAAACACACAGACAAGATGCTCTGCATAAACTATATCATCACTGTCCTACAAGTATAGGACAGTGATATTATTTGGTATTGTCAATCCTTGACGCATGTTTGTGTGTATATAAATAAAATAAAAAAAAAAAAAAAATTCTTTCATTTTACTTGACTAATTAATTTTATTTTTACTATAAATATGTATTCTTTATATGAAAGGATTATATTTTATTCTCTTTTTACGCATACATTTAGTTAGACCGCGATTCCATTGTCAACAAATATTTGTAAAATAAATTGTTTAAATGTTATTTTGAAAACCTCCAACAGGTGCCGTTTGTACCGCTAGTTCCTGCGATTTCCATAGTTTGCAACATGATGTTGCTTGCTAATTTGTCGGGATTAACGTGGATTCGCTTCGTAGGTTGGGTGGCGATTGGTAAGCCAATTTTCTTTTACTGAAAACTAAAACAATAGTTCTAAAAGATTTATTTTTGTTTGGATTTGCTTGAGAAACTGGTACATGGAATTTAAATACAAAGTTAGCTTGTTTTGGAATACCGTGTACTCCTATTTCTAACTTCTTTTCTTTCTTTTTTTTGTGGGTTTTTGGCTCCTTGTTTCTCCCTCCCCTTTCGATCCGCCTCTGGGTTTTCTCTAGGAAAGTGTGTAGTAGGGTAGGGTAGGACTGGACCGGTTGGTGTGTGCTTGAGCTATCAGGCTGGTGTTGACAGATGTTGTTAGGTGTGCCCTGCCAATTTTTGATTGATTGAATGTTTGATTATTATTATTAATAATTACTATTTTTATATTATTAGGTATGGTGATCTATGTTGCGTATGGGTACAGTCACAGCACTGTAGGACGTATGAACGAAGAAGAGGCAGAAGCTCTCAATCCGTACTCTTGTAATTATGACACTGAAGAAATTACTGAATTTGGAACAATACCTTTGGACTGTCTGTCACTAGAAACACAAAAGTAAAAAATGAAAGATATAAAATGAGAAATAAGCTCAAGTTATGAATCTTCAAAACTATAACCTGGTGTGAACTTTTCAAAAATTTCAGTATCGTTTAAATTATGTATTTGAAAATTTTCACAAGATGGTTTATATTCATATATTATGTGTGATAATAATTAGCATGTCATTAAGAAGCAATCGCCTTATTGGTTATATGAAATTAGGCAATTTTACTATGGATATATTATTTGACGCATGAATGCAAGCTCAGTATCTCTTATACTAAAAGTTAAAAAAATATATCGAAATAATGCCACAGCTGCCCCTTCGTTTAAAATGAAAAAATAATGGTCACTCGTCTTGTGTGTGTGTTTCTCGTGTACTCTGGTAAAACATACACTTTCTATTTTAAGCTTGCTTCTTTTATAGATGCCATCTAAGACCATCCTACAGCCTACTAATTCCAAATAAATCTCAAATCCTAGATGCGTCACTGAAATTTATATCACACTCGCATTATTCACATTCATAAAGGTTCAAAATAAATGTATAATTTACAAGACGGTTTAGTGTTAAATCATATACCGGTAATATACTGCTAGGCCATATTATCCTTAGAGATTATATTATATATTTATTACGTAAAGCCTAACTAATCTAATGTCGTAATTTATTGACATTTTTCCGCATAGAAAACTCCCCAAGTCAGGTCTTTATTACCGATAATCTTCACTTTGTTCTTCCATACGTCAGTCCAATCGTCAACGAATTGTTGGTCAAATTCCTGAAACAAAAAGTTAGTTATATATCGATATAAGTTTATTCATATTAGCCCAAATAATACGGTTTCGGCTTGAAACACAAGACTTGTGCGGAACGATGTTCTAGTTGTTATTTCAGTCGTCCGATGGTCGACGACTGTTAGCACAATGATAATGATAATGAGGAACATTTTTAACATAAACTTTTGTCAGTGACCATTACTAATAGCTCAGTTGGATCAAAATTTACAAATAAATAATATGTAGTTACAACCGTTACATACAAAAGCATTGCATTTCTTCATTATATATTTATGTTATAGTGTTTTATCTCATTGTTTCCAGAATTATTTACATACAAACAATAAGCTTACTACTTGGAATACAACTCTTAGAATATACATTCGAAAATTAAATCACTTGTAAAGGTCTTAAGCCGTCTTATGAATGCAGAGCATCAATCACGTCTCCGCACATTACGTTTCTTCAGTGGAAGAAAGTGAATAGAAGAATAATAAAATGGCTAGACATACATTTCAAAGCTTAAATCTCACCTTTAAAAGATCATGTCTTTTATTTGCCAAATGGATGTTTTCTTGCTTATTGCTCTCGCATAAAACAGCATGTTTATCTTGCGCGTCAACGTTAACAAATCCTGAATCCTTAAGAAGCTAAATGTATAAATTATGTATGAATAAATTATACAACAGTAAAATGTAAAGAATTTGAGCTGTGTTAACCATGATTCTATAAAATCTATTAATGGGTACATAGAAGTATATAGAAAATTGTGTGGTGGAATCCAGAGGACACTTATACTCTTCTGAATGCTTATCAGCAGTGAAGTTGCGTTCTATGGGTGCGATAAATCGTATAATTCTTGGAATTGTATGAAATCCAAGCTATTTTTTCTTTGTATTATTTTTCGTTTTAGTCTTTTTAATTCTTCTATCAAACTTTACTTCAAGACCGCATTCTTCATAAGCCAAACGCAACAGTTTCACATTGTGTTAGAAAATGAACAGTAATAATACTGAGCCTTTGCTGAGTATCCATCAAACTTAACTACCCATCATAACAAAATCAGGAATATGCGCTTGTCCCACAAATACACACGTATTACGCCGTCGTTTTGTTGGATATTTCTAAAGGGTGGGTTTGGAGAAAGGTCTTTTAAATACATTGCAACTACTTACTTGGCCATAAACTGGTACAGTTAAAAGAAACCACACATTGGCACGCTTTTTCATGTAAGCTTCCATCATGTCAGAAAAATCATTGGTAGTGCGACAGTAGTCAGTAATCAGAAGCTTCCCGCCTGGCTTAAGCCATTTCTGTAAACAAAACACAATATCTAAAGGTTTACCGCAGCAAAGAGTCCTGAGCATTATAATGTTACCTGTCATATCAATTTATTATTAATTTAATATTTCAGTTCTATGACGTAATTTTTCTTTGAAAAACATAAGCAAAAAGCAGCCTCATGCTATCTCAATATTATTGCGAAACATAACTTGCCTGTAATCTTCTATGTCGGTTATTAAGACAAACTAATTTGGCCTATAATGCTGTGTTAAACATGAACACATTCTATATAGATGCCAGAACAACAGATTTTGAAGGTGCCTTCCATGGTTCAACAAATAAATTTACTCACTAATACATATCTTGAAAAAGTTAAATACAAGAATCAATCTACTTACAAGAAATTTCTTGAACAACTCTTGTTTTCTAACGATATGAAGAATGACATCTTTACTGTAAATTGCATCAAAATATCCCTCTGGAAACTCTCGTCTCTCGATGTCACATACCTCAAACTCGATCTGATAGTATAGACAAATACAATTAGGAAAGGGCGTTCTCTATTGGCGCCACCAGCATTAATGGGGAGCTCCTTGGGGTCCACCCCCACCCCCCGTATGCTATGTCCATGATACGGTGGTAATTAGCCTACAATTGAAACAACATACTGAGAATAACAGGGGAAGCCCCTAAATAGTGCATGAAACAGTAACAATTCTATAGCAAAAAAAAAAAAAAAAAAATTGTGAGAAATTTGTAAAACAAATAAAACAACAAATAACCGTATACTATACGTGAAAACAATAGTTATCTAATACAAAACTCTTACATTCAAGTCAGGATAATTAGCAGTTACTTCCGTTGCTAAATCAATCATGTTGGAAGAAATGTCAACTCCAACTACGTGCGCTTTGTATTTCTAAATAACAGGGAAAATATCACGAAAGAGAATTAATAGTGTAGTGTTACTTTGATTGAAAACATTTTCTGTATTATACAGTAGATGAAACATCGATTTACATAAGGTTCATTGACAAATTAGGCCTTCTACCGTCTTTTCCGCTTTTTTCAATTACATAAATTCTTATACTGTTTTCTGTCTGTTGTGGAATTTAATTTAAAAAAGAGAGATATCATGGCTTCCAAAAAGAAGGTAGCAATTTTAGTCACAGATTTTTTTTTTACAGGAACGAGTTAAGTATAAATTGAGGAAGAAAATTATTATGCAGAAATAAAAGTTAAGCTTTTAGAAGCTTTTCACATTTATTATACAGTACTTGACATTCATATAGTGCCAATCCAATTCTTTAAAGGAACTAAGTGAAGAAAACAAAAAGACTGTCGTAAGCAGGACACTGCATTATTATTTACAGCCGTTTAATACCTTGGCATGCAAGATGGCGGGACCCCCAGCACCACATCCGACGTCCAGTACCCTTTGACCTGGCTGCAAATCAAGCCTCCTCATACATTCCTAAACATTGAATCAAACACATTATATTGTTTTTTAAAGTGGAGCTGTAGCCTGGTGGTTGCCTTCCAATCTTTGAGCCGTGGGTTCAAATGCTTTCAAAGTGAGGATTCTGCTTATTTTATATATTTAAATAATTTAAATTGTCATTGTTTTAATTGAAAATTATAATATAAAAATACATTTCCTCAATGATTTCACGTACGTAAATATTAAAACATTCATTTGCTCAAACCCTTAAATCGCTGGTAATCAATTTAGGGATCTTGTGGTAAAACGTCCAGTGAAAACATTATTAGTTTGTGTATTATTGAAAGTATTTATCGCATAGGCCTATAAGTACGGTACCGTAGTAGATGTGAACAATTAAGTACTAGTAGACACAATGTTAACAAAAAAGTATAGCAGAAAAAAAAGATGTCTAAAAACCCACCTCGGTTACTTCTGCCCCTCCAGTGCTAATATATCCCGGGTCTCCTCCTCGACTAAATACTCTTTCAAAAAATGTTGATATCTTCTTGGTATATGTCTTGTCGTTAAGGACATCGTGAAGGCTATCAAGGCGTCGGTCTTGTTCAGGGCCGAGTAGAACTTTCTTGAACATACTGCTGTAAAGCACACGATGATCCTGTAAATATATATAATTCGTTTTGTCTTCATTCTATGTAATTAGAAATAAAAAAAATTGGGCTCTGCCCCTGGGGACAGCCGCAATGCCACGCCACCACGACTTAAACTGCAACATAATACAGAAATACCCGATCTCAATATCTGAACTTAAACTACGACAGATTCGCAAAATTATAAAGATATATAGGCCTATCAAAAATAATGGTAAAAAGAAGACTAGGTCTATACTGCTACTACACTAAAATACCTCATATGTTTCGATGATTCTAGATGCTACAAACACAAATCCGTACGAATTCTTGGACGGAGTCGTTTTGAAGACACTTTCGAGGCTATATGTAGTTGGTTTATCCGGATTGTCCACAGCAGCTAAATATTAGAAACACGAATAAAGATCCACTGTATATCTTGCATCAACAGCACTATACCATAAAACCTCGAATAGAAGTCCAATGGGCTTTAGGCCTATCTCTATAATTTATTGATATATTTTTTTTTATTGAAAAAGACGACCTACCGCCCTAACTTCCGTCGGCAAGCCTGTACCTTCTGGAACCCCAAATAAATTGCCATACCTTACCACGACCCAAGGTCCCCACCTTTTAGAAATGCCGTATCAAAACCCAGCTATTTATACAACATTAAGGCGATTTTCCACTGCGCATTACAAAACAATACAGACAATAGACTGAATAGAACGAATGGAAAGCGTCGGTTCATACGCATGCGCATTCACATTCCTATCGGAGTTTTTGCAAAGAGAAAAAATGCGCAACCAATCAGAGTTCTGGAAAGCGAACCAAAGCTTTGATTCGCGCGAATAAATTCACCTAGTGGACAACCAGCTTTATATCGAAATATTGTGTAGTGTCCGTAATGCCATCATCATCAAAACTTTATTATTCGATAAATTGTCCTTTTCCCCCGTATAAATCAAATTCTATTTCAATAATAATAATAATTAATAATAATTCTGGATTTATATAGCGCCTCACGTTGACACAACCTCGAGGCGCTTAACAACAACAGAGAAGAAGAAAAATTAATTAAGTTCAAATGATTGGTTTGATGATTATCAATAAATGTTGTTATTACAATGCTTTGGTAATTGGAACCATTTCAAGGCCTGTTAAGTTCCTATTCATCCCAAAGCCTTTCATTTTTCTTTCCCTTTTGCTTCTTTCCTTTCTTCCTTTCCCTTCAAATGTTATGTTTCCTTATCTTATCTTTCACATTCCTTTCTTAGATTCTTTATCTTTCCTTTCATTTTCTTTCTTATAATTCATATCTGTCTTTCATATTTCATTCTTATATTTCATACACATAATTCCTACTTGCACTATGTATGAAAATATCAGTTTGTTACTAATACTATAATAATAATAATAATAATAATAATAATAATAATAATAATAATAATAATAATTTTATTTGGAACGACATTTGTTGTCATCAGTGGCACACTTCTTAATGGAGCAATGTTTGGGCAATGATGCATTTTTCTTTCCCTTTTGCTTCTTTCCTTTCTTCCTTTCCCTTCAAATGTTATGTTTCCTTATCTTATCTTTCACATTCCTTTCTTAGATTCTTTATCTTTCCTTTCATTTTCTTTCTTATAATTCGTATCTGTCTTTCATATTTCATTCTTATATTTCATACACATAATTCCTACTTGCCCTATGTATGAAAATATCAGTTTGTTACTAATACTATAATAATAATAATAATAATAATAATAATAATAATAATAATAATAATAATTTTATTTGGAACGACATTTTTTGTCATCAGTGGCACACTTCTTAATGGAGCAATGTTTGGGCAATGATGCAGCTGCATATAGGCTCCCTGGGGGGGGGGGCGTGTGTCTACTGCTTGATGTTTTGTTTTGGCTACGTTTAACTCAAGTATTACCAGTTTGTTGACTTTTTAGTGAACTCTCTAGGACAGGTCTAGCAGCTTTCTGTATTGGCAAATTCATTTGAATAACTTAACTAGGGCAGGTCCTATTTAGCATAGCATCATATATTCCGCTATCACTTGCTATTCATTTTTTTCTTTATCTTATGACCCATCACATCATTAACGGTACGAGATGCACTAAATGCTTTTGAAAGCATATTTCTAAAGCAATTGAAATATATTTTTTGATAGGCAATTTTAAAGTTGGTTCAACTAAATTTTTAACGTTTTTGAATCACGTCAGGTCATCTTACTTCATGAATACGTTTCACTTCACTGAAATCATGTCATTGATTGTACAATTGTTGCCAATGATTGTTTGAAGTTTTGCGTGTCGATGTAATAATACAGTATATTAAATGCTTGCTGTACACCACACATTTCTGAAAAGTTGTTTTGTTGAGAATATCTTTTCGGTTCGATTGAGTTGCTTCAATCGTCAATGCGTCAATGCATCAGGAAAACAATATCAATCGAAACGTCGACACATTCTCATCAAAACAATAGTATTTATGGGCCTGTTCTGATTGGCCAGAACTTGTTAAGTTTAGTTCACACTCCAGACAGGTCTGTTGTGTTAGCAACATTGTTTTGAAATTTTGGATGTTTGCTTAGTAATTTCGCTTACGTACATTCATCAACTTTATCGCAATGAGTGACGAGCATGACGTAACAATCTGGAAGAAGCCAAGACAGAAACTTTGAACTCAACTCCATGTCCAACATCCCATTGCAGAGAACTAGAGAATAGCTACAAAATGGCAAAATACATCAAGAATTTGAGTTTAGTTAAAGTAATTAATAATAGTATTGACTACTTTATAAAAGTTAGGCTATTAACCATATTCATTATTTTCTTACCACAATTAAAAACAATACAATATAGGCATATGTAGCATACAATAGAGTCCGTAAAGAAAATAATCATAGTAAATAAACCATTCTAAACATCATAAGAAATATTTTGATACTGATAAATTCTACAAAGGGAATGCATAAAACCGCCCAACATCAAATACGATAGATTTCAGGCCAACCCATTGTGAACTAATATACTCTCTTGAGACATACTCAACACCAATAACTTGTTCCATCTTTATACAATCAACGTCACAATTTGTATTCTTCCGGATTTCATCTAAAATGGCCGCTGTTCTTTCATTCTCAATTATCGTCAACTTTCCAGCTTTTTTAATGACAGCATCCAAGAGGCCTCTGTAATAAAGTTGGAGCAGTAAATGTATTTAAATACTGTGCCTCCAAACGGAGGACGCCCTCAAAATGGTAGTATACTTTCGTTTGAACCACCATTGCACGCATATATATAT